CCCCCCACCATTCTGCAGGTCCTTATCGATAATATCAAAGATTTTGCCCCGATTATATACACTCCCACGGTTGGGCTGGTTTGTCAGAACTACTCGGGACTGTATAGAAGACCACGGGGAATGTACTTCAGCGCAAAAGACAAAGGAGAGATGATGTCTATGATATATAATTGGCCTGCTGAGCAGGTAGTATATGCACAAATGGGATCCTGGTTTTTAAATTTATGAGACTTACAAGTTTTCCTTCCATCGTGCAGGTAGATATGATAGTCATTACAGATGGTAGCCGTATTCTCGGCCTGGGTGATCTTGGAGTCCAGGGAATTGGAATTCCTATCGGGAAGCTTGATATGTATGTCGCTGCAGCGGGCATCAATCCACAGAGAGTATGTGGATCCCAACATAATTTGTTTGTGTGCATAAGGTTTTCAACATGTTATTCAGAATATACTTGTTTCTGCCAGGTTTTGCCGGTTATGTTAGATGTGGGCACAAATAATGAGAAGCTCCTAGAAAACCATCTCTGTGAGTGACACTTTTTTTTAACGGATGAGATTTGTCCACCCGATGTGCTTATGTATGTGTTTCCTCAAAACGTTATGAATATATCTCTCTTACATTTTACAGATTTAGGACTTCGAGAACGTAGGTTGGAAGGAGAAGAGTATCTTGAGATTGTTGATGAATTCATGGAAGCTGTATTCACACGATGGCCGAAGGCTGTTGTGCAGGTAATGCATATATATAGGTGCTCTGAGTTTCTTCTCAGAGCCATTCCGTTCAGCTTGGAAGATAACATGACAGAATCTTACTTCCATTATAGTTTGAAGATTTCCAAATGAAATGGGCTTTTGAAACTTTGGAAAGATATCGGAAAAGGTTCTGCATGTTCAACGATGATGTCCAGGTATGTACTCGCACTGTCTGTAAACCCAGCTGTTGTAAGATTATGAACCGGAAACAGAGATTAAAAGACTAGCCTTTTAACTTAGAATTGCATGTATATCTTTTGCAGGGAACTGCTGGTGTTGCTCTGGCTGGACTTTTGGGAACGGTAAGAGCCCAAGGTCGGCCTTTGACAGACTTTGTAAACCAAAAGATTGTCGTGGTCGGAGCTGGGAGGTACTTTGTTGAAATCTCCATTTCATCTAAATATTTTACACAGATTCATTGCTTCTGATAGGATCTTTTTTGTATCTTTTACTTCACATCTTCTCACCCGAGTTTTTGTTTTCCCTTGCGTCCTTCAGTGCAGGGCTTGGAGTGCTTAAGATGGCAGTGCAGGCAGCTGCGAGGATGGCTGGCATTAGTGAGACAGCTGCAATGAAAAACTTTTACCTGATAGATAAAGACGTGCGTCTCTGTTTCCTTCTATTTATCCACACCCACATGGATTTTTGTTTTTTCTTTGCATGATTATAAAAGTAGCTGTCGTAGTTCCGTGCATCAGATTGACTTTGACAATGTCATATTGTCTTCTAAGTTAATCTTATACGCTTGCTTCACATTGATTTTATAAGTTATCCACTTCAAATCTACTTGAAAAAGTCTAACCATTTTGTAGGTTATCTTATGTTAATTCTCTTCCTGCTTTCGTCCATATAGTAATACTCCTTTACTTTTGGTCAGCATATTGTTTATGTCATGATGTCATCTGATTACCTCGTCAGATTTTGCCCTTTTGTTTTTTTGTTGAATAATCTACTGAGAAGGAGTGATGATCGGGTTTCAGGGACTTATCACCAAGGAGAGGACAAACCTCGACCCAGCAGCAGCCCCTTTTGCTAGAGATCTAGGTCAGGTTTCATGTCTTCGTGAAGGATCAGGTATCGTCGAAGTGGTAAGCATTACAGTGTCATCTCATTGTTCCAATTTGTTGATGTACCCTTGTTCATATCCTACTGGTACCATGTAGCATTAGGACATCTATCATCTTTTACGGTCTGAATATGTCATTTTCTCGTGCTTGATTATACCCCTATATATGCCATGCCTGTAAAATGTTTTCTTGAGAAATTCCTAATAGGAAACTTGTTCAGGTGAAGGAGGCGAGGCCGCATGTTCTTCTTGGTCTGTCTGGAGTCGGCGGTATCTTCAATGAAGAGGTGGGTTGGGTGGCTCGCCCGACAATGAGTTCTTTACTGATCTCAGCATTTATATGAGTTGCTTAGCGTTTGTTGGTTTTTCCATACTGAAGGTTCTCAAGGCAATGCGAGGATCCGATTCGAACAGACCTGGCATTTTTGCTATGTCGAATCCTACCTTGAATGGTTTGTTTTACTCTTTTTCGCGAAATGAATGAGCCATCCATCGGGATCGTTCCTTGAAGTTGCAGTGTTTTTGCTGACATTTCGTTATAACTTCTTCACACCGACAGCCGAATGCACTGCTGCTGACGCTTTCAAGCACGCCGGAGAAAACATAGTCTTTGCAAGTGGAAGCCCCTTTCAGAACGTCGACCTCGGTCTGTTTCACCCGAATTATGGTAAAAACAAAATGAGGATGGCTTGTCTAAGGAATGTGTATTTCCCTTCCACTTGCAGGCAATGGTAAAAGAGGCCATGTGAATCAGGCAAACAACATGTACCTATTTCCCGGGATCGGGTTAGGAACGCTTCTATCTGGCGCACGTATCGTGACTGACGGAATGCTTCAAGCAGCAGCCGAATGGTAGAGGACATTAACGCACCTTCTTGCCATGATCATGTTATGTTACATATGTTTCCATGTCCATGTGAATAGCATTTGATTCCTTTCTATTTAAATGTACACAGCCTCGCATCCTACATGACGGAGGAAGAGGTCAAGAAGGGCATCCTTTATCCTTCTATCAACAAGTATATATACATCTCCTCCTCTGAATTTGTCCTCTCCATGCATGTATATATATATGTATGTATGTAGGTGAGTAATGTTGTACGTCATGTGCGTGAAAAATGCAGCATCCGACACATAACAGCGGAGGTCGGGGCTGCTGTCTTAAGAGCAGCTGTAAAGGAAGACATTGCAGAAGGCCACGGTGATGTCGGACCCAAAGAGCTGAGCCATTTCTCTAAGGTCGGTTACCTTTCAATTTTCTTTTCCGTTATATAATAATCTCACTTCCTCTTTTTTTTTTTTAAAACAGAAGTTGATTTTTTTTTTTAATTTTGGGATAAATAGGAGGATACGGTGAACTACATAACGCGCAACATGTGGTACCCCGTCTACAGCCCTCTCGTTCACGAGAAATAAATCCCCCGTTCCGTTACCACATCCCAAAAATAAAATAAAAAATATTTATTCCTCTGATTATTATTTTTTTCTTATTATTATTATTATTATTCTGATAATGAATCTGTCTTGTCTTACAAAAGAAACAGGGGGAAGTGGGGGGAATGTTCGTTTCCCTATTTTTTCTCTTCAATTGCTTTTTTTTTTTGTTAGGTTAATGTAATGTCCAGAGCTAGCTCTTAGTGATTACACTTACACAAACCATACTTACATTTTTCCCTCTGACATTGTTCCTCAAGTGCTGGAACTCATTGAACTTTTGCCCTAATAAATAAAGAAGAATTTTATTTTCAAATTCACGTATTTATAGTTGCAATTTTTTTGTTAGGATTATAATCTGATCAAAATCGATTATTAAAAAAAATCAGCGTGTGATGTTTTTTTTTTCTTTCTAAAATTGGCTTTTGAGCGTCTCTTTGTCCTGTGGACATGTCTTGCTTGTTGACAAGTTTCTTCATCCGTTCTTTGCATTTTTTTTTTCCTTGGACTCTCTTATACAATATGATTGCAATAAATTGTATGTTATTGACCGGATTAGAAAATCGAATTGATTCGAATTCGACCCTCTCACCCATATTATAACATGACTTTGGTACATATATTTATATCCCATGTACATATATATAGTGACAGAAAAATCATTAGCGACCCAAAAATCCCCCTCCCCCTCTCTTTAGGGTGAACGTTTTGGCATACAGTTCGGGTTTAATTCGAAAATTATTTGGTTCAGTTTTTCGTTTCGATTCGATTTTGTTAAGAAAATTTTAGATTTTTTTTAAAAAATAGATTTTCGGGATTTTTTAAAATTCGATTCGATTTTGAAAATTCGACTTTCCAAAAAAATTACCGTTCGAAAACGATAGCATATTTTTCGGTTTGGTATTATTCGGTTCTAAAAAACCATACCAAAACATCATCCTTCCCCTCCTTATCCATTTTCATTTTCATTTATTTTATTTTATTTGCCGTGCGATTTGGCGGGTAGGGTAATGAGACATGTTGGGTGAAGTGGACCACTCCTCCTCCCCAAGCGAAAATAGAGTCAACCCACTTCTTTTGGCAAAATATACTCACTCTCTCCCCCTCCTTTCTAATTTTTCTATGGCTTTTAAATCTCCACATCTCTTAGTTTTCCCTTTCTCCTTAATCTTTTTTTTACCCATTTGCATCAATTATTTTCCTAAATACCATATAGTAGCAAAAACTGGAATTTGGTACAATTTACAAAAGTATTCATTTTTATTAATTTTTTAATACATTTATAAATTTATTGAAACAAATGATCCGGTAAATTAAATGAAATTGACTTTCATGTAACAAAACCGCCTAAATCTACATCGAGATAATAGTTTTCCACAGAAACCCCCGATTTCACTTTTGTTTATTTAAAATTTTCATAGTGGAAGAATTAAAATGTTTTCCCGTCACTGTTTTATACACAAAATCACCCATGAGCCCTAAAAATTAAATAAGGGGAAAAAACGCTTTTTTAGTTTCTCTCTCTCTCTCTCTCTTTCACTTTCTTTAAAAAAAAAAAGAGAGAATCTCAACATGCAAGTGAAAACCGAGCATCTTTCCAGTTACCAAAAACTAGGGTTTCGCATGTTCTTCTTCGTCATCCTTATCACATAGAGAGAGAGAGATTGAGAACGAAGAGCCCAGCGAGAACTAATTTCGAACCAAACATAAACGAAATTCATTTCCATTCTTCCTGCTTTCGTTCTCTTTCTCTCTCCTCGAGTTCAGTCCTCTGAGTTGTGTTTTATTATTATTTTTTTCTTGCTTTAGTTATTGTGATTCAGTCCGGATTTTGATTCTCGCATCTCTTATTTTGGTGAAAAGTCTCGATCTGTTTCTAATCTATTCGCTGGTTTATTTCCTGGGATTTCGTACGAGAACAAGCAAATCTCGTTCGTGTATATACACACATACACACTTGTCTGCAAAGAACAGTGTCTGTCTGATTTCCCTAGATTCGTCTGGTTTTTGGAGAAGGGAAACCATATTTCAAGTTTTTTGATGAACTTCGGGGGCATTTTCGATAACGCGTCCGGAGGCGGTGGCGGCGCCGGCACAAGGATCCTCTCCGACATATCCTATGTAAACCAGACAAGCTTCGCCGCCGGAGTCATGGCTCAGCACTGTCTCCTCTCTCCTCCTCTCGTTAAATCAGTGTTTTCCTCCCCAGGCCTTTCTCTCGCCCTCGTATTCTTCTTCCTCCTCCTTTTTCTCCGACATGCGATGTGTAATGTGTTTTCATGAGACAAGGCCTTATACGTTGTTATTGGTAGGAGCGGCCGGAGAGAGAGAACAACGGTGGGGAAGCGTCCATGAGAGGAAACGGCGAGAATCTTGAGGTGAGTGCGAACCGGAGAAGCCGAGAGGAAGA